TGCCCGCCGCTGCCTTCCACTTTTAGTGAAACTGTGCTCTCCGTCTGTCATCCATCGCTCCCACGCCGCTCGCAGCCTTACTTTGAACGGGCGGTTCACACCGATGTCGAGCGGTTGAAGCTCCTTTGTCAGACCTCCCGGAATAACAGCAAGCACAGCGTTCATTTCTTTGACCTTTTTTTTCACATCGGCTGTGAGATGGGCACGCATGGAATCACAAATTAACAGAGATGGAGATGCGTGGAAAAAACCACCTGGTCTCCTTACATACACCTCCCTCAGCCAAGCTTTCATCATCCCCTCGTCCATCCAGCCTTTTTCATTCGCCTTAATAACGACTCCAGCTGGAAAAGTCTCTTTAGGCAAAGTCTTTCTTTTAAAAATCACCATAGGCGGCAGTTTCTGTCCATTTGCGTGGCAGCCAAGCACAACAGTAAACGACGCCTTTTCATACCCCGTTGTGTGTATCGCTACAGTGCTGGTCCCCTTCTTCTCCACCGTGTGATTCACCGGGATGTCGAAAGTGAGCGGCACCTCGTCCATGTTGGTGATGTGGCTTGGCTGGATGACTCTGTCAGCGATGTGTTTGCTGCAGAAGGAGTGGAAGCTCGCCAGCTTTTCATCATAATCCGCCGGACGTCGCTGAGCAACTGTAGTCCTGGTCCGGATGGAAAAATTGCACCGTTTCATAAAACGGAAGCACCACGATGGACCTCCTTGAAAATTTTCAATTTTCATTTCTTCCGCCAGCTTTACTGCTTTTAGTCGAACAGTGACCGTTGAAACGCTGGCCCCACTCGTTCTTTGCTCCACGATCCACCGCTCCAGTCTTTCCTCCAACTCGGGCCACCTCGCCTTATGTCCGCGGAAACTCAGCTGCGTCTTCTTAACCAGTCGGAGTTCGTTTTCCAGCTTCCTCCACTTGCGAACCATCGATTCATTTATATTGAATTCTCTCGCAGCTGCTCGATTTCCATGTTCCTCTGCGTAGCTGATAGCCTTCAGTTTAAACTGGGCTTCATAGGCGTGTCTCTTTGCCATTTCCAGGGTTGTTAAGACAACAATGTTCTGCATACAGCACATACCTGTTCTTTTATACACAAGCCACGCCCACACTTCCCCCTTTAAGGTTCTCACATACTCATGGTGGTCTCAACAACGTCCGCAGATAGGGCGCACCGCACCATAGGGCGCACCCCACATTTTGAGGAAAAAAAAAGACGTTTAGGTGCGCCTTATAGTCGTGAAAATACGGTATAAATACTTCGTTACTGTACTCAAGTAGATTTTTCTGATATTTTTACTTTACTTTACTACTTATTTTTATGGCGACTTTTTACTTCTACTCCTTACATTTTTACACAAATATCTGTACTTTCTACTCCTTACATTTTAAAAAATTGGCTCGTTACTTTAGTTTTGAATCATTTCAATGGAGTTACCGTTATTATTTTTCACGTCACTGTGAAAACGGAGCCGTTTTCCCCCTCTGTTCCCAAAGTGTAGCCGCTGTCTATCACGCACAGCGTCACATCCTTCACTACATTTCCCAGCATGCACCACAAACCGGCTATCATGGCGGCGGCAGTTCCAAACAATTCACCAGGTAATTTACACTAGTTCCGAAATTACAACGTCACCTTTCATTCAACACTTTACTTACTCACCAGCGTAGCAAACTCTGAAGGTACCCACTGCGACAGCTTTAATATACATTCCGTAGTCGGTAATAAAACTTCCCAGTCAAATTACACATTCTCTTCCCTTAGTCCGTCAGCATACTGGTCCGTGTGGAAACACGTACCGCATCGGAGCCAGTCTCTTATCCATTGTCCCAGGGCATTGAAAAAGACTATTAGGGGGCAGGGGTGTTAAGTGGGATTTCAATGAATGTAATAATTGTTTGCATGGTAATAAGTAGGTGAAATGGTAATGTTAGCATGGTTAAATTATTTCATTAATATGTATGTTTTTGTATGAATGATGCTATTGTCTGTATTTATTTTTCTACAATGTTTTTTTTTTTTTGATGAACTTTATTTAAACAAGGTGGGTAGAAACAAGTTAGGCAATAAGAACATTAGAATTCTAATTCTATAGAAGGCATAGTAGAGGCAGATTTCAGAATGAAAATACAAAGTAACTTTGATGAGGAAAATAAAAAATGCGTGAGTAATGCTAATAATACAATAAAATAACATAAAGACAAGGGGATTCATATGTTAGGATTAATGTACATCAGTGGGCAGTTTTCATTAGTATTTCAGTCAGGTATTTGTAAGATTCGATACATTCAAGAGATGTCAAATATAAATTAAATTCAGATAAAAAAATACTAAAGATAGGGGAGGATCTCAAGACTCTCTGTTTATGAATAAAGAATTTTGCTAAACAAAAAATTAGGTTACAACAGAGTTCTATTGTTTTGTCTTTCAATAGTATTCCAAAAACTACCATATCTCTAGAAATAGAATTAGGGAGTGCAATTTTTGATTTGATCCATCTTTCTAAACAATTCCAAAATGTTTTAGTCTGACTGCATTCATAGAAGACATGGTCTATAGTTTCTACATCACTTTCACAGAATGAGCATTTATTGTCATCGATATTAAAACGGATTCTTAGTAGTTCTTTTGATGGGTAGATGGCAGTTTCTTTAGCTTTTGGTTGTATAGGAAGTTTAAAAAATACAAAGTAACTTTGATGAGGAAAATAAAAAATGCGTGAGTAATGCTAATAATACAATAAAATAACATAAAGACAAGGGGATTCATATGTTAGGATTAATGTACATCAGTGGGCAGTTTTCATTAGTATTTCAGTCAGGTATTTGTAAGATTCGATACATTCAAGAGATGTCAAATATAAATTAAATTCAGATAAAAAAATACTAAAGATAGGGGAGGATCTCAAGACTCTCTGTTTATGAATAAAGAATTTTGCTAAACAAAAAATTAGGTTACAACAGAGTTCTATTGTTTTGTCTTTCAATAGTATTCCAAAAACTACCATATCTCTAGAAATAGAATTAGGGAGTGCAATTTTTGATTTGATCCATCTTTCTAAACAATTCCAAAATGTTTTAGTCTGACTGCATTCATAGAAGACATGGTCTATAGTTTCTACATCACTTTCACAGAATGAGCATTTATTGTCATCAATATTAAAACGGATTCTTAGTAGTTCTTTTGATGGGTAGATGGCAGTTTCTTTAGCTTTTGGTTGTATAGGAAGTTTAAAAAAAAAGTTCTTGGTATTTCAATTGATTTTTGTTCAAATTTGCAAAGAATGTTATTTTTATTTATTTTCCCAGGGAACAAAGTTTCATTTAGATAGTTTCTAATTGTGTGGTTATTGAATTTTTGATCAGTGATTGATATTCCATTAATAGATAAATCGGGTAGTTTGGGGGTAATTGGATGATATATTATTATATTTTGAATCTGATTAATAAATTGTTCTGGCAAGGCGTTAAGTAATCTTGTAAATTCATCTTTTGGAGGAAGGAACTGATATTTTGTACAGAATTGTTCGTAATTTAATATGTAACCATTAGTGTCCATTAAGTGTATAATAGACCAAATATTCTTCTCCATCCAATCTTTGTAGAATAATGACTTATTGCGATGTAGAATAAATCTATTATTCCATATGATAGAGGAGTGTGGCGAGTAGTTATGAACATATATCATTTTCCATTTTTTCTACAATGTTAACTGTGCTTTATAGGGGATTTCCCTTCCTGTTTAGTTGGGCTGTCCCAATTGGCTGATTATTGGTGGGTCTATTTAAGGGGCACACTCCCAATGGCTTAGGGGTCTGCTTGGAGAGACTGGTTGGAGAAACTGCTCTTGAAGGTCTGCTTAGAGAGACTATATATAAAGTCAGCTTGCTGTGAGGCTGTCAGTGTTTTGTATTGCCTGCAATCGCCGGTTTTGTTTTCTTTATTTGAAAGTATTTTGTTTGTTTTGTTTTTTTTTTTGTCTTCACCGTTGCACCAGTAAATAAACCGCTACACGCTTTTGAACTGGAATTTTGTTGTCCGCTGGTTCTTACCACCTTTTTGCAAGTCATCTGCTTACTCCTCCTCTGACGTGAGACGGGAGCTGGTGAGCCGTTTTCTCACAAATACCAAATTCAGTCTAATTGGATGGGAATCTACGTTGCATTTGACGCACCACTACAAGATGAATCGACAGATTCGGCGGTATTCATTGGCGGCAAATCATTGCAGCTTGGTGGCGGTGGCGTTAGCATAGTAGTATGGACGACGAGATGATTGAAAATGAACACAACGGAGATCTAGTCCTATTGGCAGACATCCATTTAAAATGTAGGCAACAGCATGAAAAAAGTGGTTTCTACTTTTACTTTTATACTTTAAGTAAATTTACAAGCCTGTACTTTGTTACTTTTACTTGAGTAAAGAAGTTTAATCAGTACTTCCACTTTTACCAGAGTATTTTTAACACAAGTATCTGTACTTTTACTCAAGTACGGAAAGTGAGTACTTTTGCCATCTCTGACTATATGCATGCATGAGGTCCCCTCTGGGACTCAATGACAACCTTAGCCACATTGCTGGATGATTACACCCTTATAGCAAAGGATAATCAATACTTTTAAACTCTAATAGACTGAAATTGACTTCACCTCCAAGGTTAGTCATTTAGAACCAGAGTGCGGCAGAGTGGGTCGCATTTCCACGGTGTGGATTGGTGTGATTGGTGTGTGTGTGTGTGCAGACTGCAGCAGCAGCAGCTGCTGTCCCGCGGCCAGAGCGCCTCAATCCTCATCGATTAACTAACAGTCGCACTGCTCTCTTAAAGTCCGCAAATTAAATGAACAAAACACTGAAACACACTTTAAATGGAGCGATTAGAGATTAAGGTGAATTTTAGAATAGAATAAAAATAGAAAACGGGAACAAATAAATAAAATAAAATAAAGACATGAAAAGAGCCGCAGCATCCAGGTGTAATAGTGATCCGGAGGCTCACCTCGGTGTGTTGGTAATCCAGGATTACTGGTAATCCAGGATTACTGGTAATCCAGTTTTGGGCTCACTGCTGCAGACACTCTTCCTCGTAAGCAGCCTGCCGGCTGTCAGCGCTTCACTGTCCTGCGTGACCACCGCGACGCATCCACGGAGAGACTCTGTCCCGTCCAGCACCGAGGGGAGGGGGGGGCATGACCCTTCAAAATAAAGGTCTGCTCAGACGCTTAAAATACACTATTTTCTTATAAATAAAAACTGTGTTATCTATTATCAGTATTGGACTATTGTTATATAGTATTTTTATGCAGCATGATTTTGTATTTTCTGACAGTTAAATCAAGGGCAGAAAAATAGGTTTATTTCATGCATATTAAACTGGATTAATTATTACACAGACAATCTTTTTTTTAAGGTTAGGCCTCTTTATAAACATAATTTGAATTCCTTTCTTCCTAAAAAAAAAAAAAAAAAAAAAAAAGCCTGTAATCGCCATTCATTCAAAAAGGACCGGAATTGATGTAAAACTATATTGTTACAATGTTGTTGATTTGTTAAAAAAGAAAAGAAAAAAATCACTGTAATGCAAAGCAAAAAAACTAAACTAAAAAACATAAAAACTAATGCATTCAAATAAAGCTTGTTGGACCTTTTCTTTCATTCTTGGTTTAAGGCTTAGGGAGGCTATCACATCATTAAAAACATGGAAATCTACTGACAGACTTGATTTATGCAGAATACAGCAGCTGGAGATCATCATTTCCATTGAAATACAGGGGCCCTTTAAAATCTCACCATGCAGGCCTCTGCTGAACCAACTGTCATTTTTAAAACCTGCTTCCTCTAGTCCTAATGAGAACACAGTCTACTTTATTTTGAAAGGTTCAAAAGGAAGTTCCTCCTTGGAAGTTTTACAGCCCACCCATCCAACCCCTCTTAAGTTTAGGAAGCGTTAATTTATTTAAACTGATAAGGGAGTCATTTACAAGATGCAACAAACAGCCAAGTTTGTAGATATGAACATATAGCTGGATCCATCTGCAGAGCACAGCAGCTTTACAGCGCCATCAAGTGGCCAAACTATGAAAGTACAAATAAGATACAGTTTAAATGCTGCCTTAAACCGAGGTTGCTTTATTTTTTCCATATCAGTTTTGTTATATTTGCACAATCGATTTATGCATCGGATGTCAAGCACCAAAACAAGCTTAAGGGAAGCATCCTACCGCTGAAATATTAGAAAACAAACCAGGAAATCAATGTTATTTTAGACAGAGTGGTGTATAAAATGAGTGTCCAGGATTGTTTGGAAAGCCAAGGAGAAGATTAGGCAACAGCTGCATGAAAAAAACCGTTTGACCACAATGATCTCAGAAGAAAACCTGTTTATTGATTCCTCCTTTTCTTTTGGTTTTAATCCTAAAATCCGCCATTGTCCAAAATTATAACAACCCATTGAAAGGAATTGAACTGGGGTTTACATTTTAATGTGAAAAAAAATATTTATTTGTAGTAACATATTAATATGGGGCATACAATTAGGCCTTGAGATGACATGTTGTGAATTGGCACTATAGAAATAAACTGAATGGAATTTATTTAAACTGTGTATCTAAAGCATTGATGGTTCTAGACAGGAGCCAACAGGGGCCACTGCCCCTTTAAATGAGGTGGCCCTGGTTTTGGCCTCTCTAATGAAAACATAATACCAAATCAGTTTCTTTCAGTGCTGGTATTTAGATCTAGAACTAGTCTCAAGAAGCAAATTACACTTAGAAGAAATGTTGAGGGAGAAGAAGCAAACTTCACTACCTACATTCACAGATGAGTGAATATAACAATGAATAAAGTGATGGATGCATAGAACAAGAAAGGTAGTTATGCACTTCTAGCCTTTTAAATTTATTTTTTGCTCGTTAGCATTTAATGCATAATAATAATAGCTCCTCAAAGTCTATGAAAGCTAACAGGATGTCCTAATTATATCATCCCAAACATTGTAAATGTTGATGTTCTCACTGTATTGATCTGCCCTGATAGCTGACCTAAATTGTTCACTTCATTAACCTGCAAAACTCTGCCCGGTTCTTAATCATCGCTCAACTTATCAACCTGCGTCTGTTGCTTTATATTCGACTCAACCAAGCTGATCGTTGTTTGGATGTTTGCTTCGTTAGTTTGAGTTATCCAAAGGTTTATGTCGCCTTTCCCAGAGGCTCATGGGTTGTGAGGGTTTGGTGTTTGTCTTGCCATCACCTGATTGTGTCCTGGCTTTTTCCAGCTGAGCTCTATCGGTTCCTGTTTTGGTTTGGTGGGGGGGGAGCTAGTTTAAAGTCCTGTAATCCTGGCTCCAAGTTGGAGACCAGTTTAAAGCCCTGCAGTTATCCTGGTACCATGTCTTGTCTCTGTCCCTCAACCACTGAGCCTGCCTGTCTGCATCTGTGCATGTCTGTCTGAGCTCATTGCTCGACTCATGGAACTCTGAAACCCTGGATATGTCTGTTCCTGTGTGGATCGCAATCCCTGACTGTGCTGCGGACTCCTGGATTCCCGAACTGTTCCTGTCTGATCCGTTTTACCTGACCTGGATTGCATTCCTGCCACCGAGGTTGCTGCATTTAGGACACTCTGGGCGGCTCTGCACCACAGCTCCTTTGGCAGTCCATTGGCTGGATCCTGTCCTCCTTGGAAAGGATGGACCGAGCTGCTGTTAAAACAAGTAAATGACTCACACAGATAATCATCTCCCGTCAGTTGATCCGGGTCACTTACCTGTGTTTCTACCTCCAGAGTGTCAGTGATTGGGTGATGCCCCGCCTCCACTCTGCAGCTTCTGTTCCGTTATGTGTTTTTGGGTTAATAAACATTTTGAACTTTCCCATTGTCTGTCTCACCTTGAATACTGGGTCCATCTGCCCCGTTCTTGACACTCACTTGCGTTTGGTGTTTCACCCATCATGCATGAAGCTGTTGCAAATCAAGAGCTCAATTAGTGAAAGACTGCTTAAACCCTAGGTGCACTAAGTTGCATTATCACAGATCTTTCCTCCCAGCAGAATCTATATAATCTATATTATTCTTTATGCCATTCTTGTTGACTATAAACTTTTGGTGATACAAAAAAAAAATCTATTTTAAAGGTTTTGATATATTGCAAGGATAATAGAGAGTGCTGTATGAGGGCTTAAAAGCAAGGAGGAAAGACAAAACTGGAAAAACTCTGTTACGGAACATCATTCACCGACCACTAACAAAACAATACATGCAGGTTAGGGTTTGTTAAACCTTTATCAAGCACTATGATGCAAAATTATGACATAATTCAAACTTATTTGTGTTCACATTAACTGTTCAGATAAATTAAGCAAATATTGTTGCAGAAATATTCAACCTTTATTGATACATGATATACAGACATGTCTGTAAAAGAAGCTTTTATTGGTTCTGGGTTTGGACTGTATTCATATCAGACTCATGGATAATATGCTTAAGATTAAAACCCGCAAAAATATTGAACAATAACACCAAACTGTCAGATGGTGTTCATGGAACAGACCGGGAGACAATCGCAGGATTCCTTGATCTGTCTGTTATACATCCAGGAGTTTTAATTCACTATAATGCAAATGTGCTATAAAATCCATAACCAGTGTCCCTTAAAATAGGAGATATGTAGGTGAAAAGGAATATAAAAATAGCTTGACCTCCCGCCGTTTTGAGGGAAAGATGTACAGGAGCAACTCAATAAATTAAATATCTGTACTGTGTCAGCCAGAACATGAACATACCAGCATTTCTGTAATGAAATCAGTAGAAATCTGATACGTATCATCGATTTACAGAGAAAAAAAGAAAATGAATGATTCTGTATTTGCTGTAAATATAAGAATAGATTTCTGTTTGTTTTTCAAACTGTTCACAGTTTACATCAAATGTGACCCTAAACCTCAAGCGTATAATTCAGAACTCCTTCATTTACATTCAGTACAATGTCAAGTAAACAAAAACAAACAGAAAAACGTAATTAGTAAACATTTTTTTCTAGACTATCAACACTAAAACACCTTATATCCTAAAATACACACAATCTTTGCTGGAATACAATACACCTTCTTTTTAACATTAATTATACATTTTACCAGATATCTCGATGTTTACTCTAATCAGATCAAAGGTTTTTGTTTTCCATAAACTCAAAGGAAACATCATATCACATTCCTCTATGCAAATCAAATCCTCAATAAATTCGAGTGGAGTCCTGGAGAGGAAATCAATGTCTAAGGCAGACAAACTGTTAAATCCAGATGGCAAACAGAAGCACAAACCGCCCTGAAACATGTACAGTACTGGTAGGTCGACTATGACGGGACAGGGGCGGTTATCATCACCGCAGGCGGCGGGGAATGGGAGGCGCAAATTCTGTCTGTCTGGGAGCAGGTCTCTGGGGAAGAGCTCGTGACGGGCAGGATATGTAGCGCTCATTCACTTTCTCTGGCACCCTACAGGAAAAACAAAAACAGTCACTGTTATGAAAGGTTATCAGCTCGGAAACACAAGATTGCAGTAAACCATAACCTTCAGCTTCAAGAAGATGCTACTGTATGACCCACATATGCGGAATCTGAGCATCGTCTCTAAAGGTATAAAAATATAAAACCAAGGCAGACATGTTTGTTGATGAGAGGTGTGCTACCAGCGTTCATCAGACATCAGATAAGATGTTTCAAGTCTTTGTGGGCTTCAAGTTGTAAACCCACTTAATGTGGTTGTTTTTCTATTTTTTGTTTTTTTATTTAATGGCACCTAGCATGATTATTTAGTCAGTCTGAAATCTGCCTTTGACTTCTGGAAATTAAAAAAAAAATCACTTTATTTCAACAATGAATGCTTCACCTTTTAAACCATATTTTGAGCATAAATTTAATGTTTTTAGATCCATACTTTAGCAGAGGTGTAAAAAGTATTAGTTGAGCAATTAATCTCACATTGGAGAAATTTACCTCTGAATTTAAAGGAATAGTACACCCAAAACATGCTAGCCTTCATTTTCTACTCACCCCCATGCTGAACAACACTCTGGAGTATTTTTTTGATATCTCAAATGCATCTGGAGATCTGGGAGGCTTCTTGCTGTCTGCTGACATTCAAATAATGGAGGT